GCTTGATGTCTAAGGGACGGAGAGAATTGTTGAGATTAGAAAGACTGGAAATGTAGGGAAGGCAGAGGATAGAAGAGTTCCCAGGAGTAGAGAGTTTGGGAGAGAAGAAATTACGTTTAGCACATGAGAGGGCAGAGTCTATGAAATGGGAAGGGTAGCCAAGACGGGAAAACGAATTATGAATTGTGGAAATTTCTGCTGGAAGGAACTGAGGATCACAGAGCATGGAGAAAGAGGGAGATAAGAACACTTTTCTTGACAGGGGAAGCATGATAGGAAAAGTAGTGAATGTACATGCCACTGTGCATAGGTTTTCGGTAAACGGAAAAGGAAAAACCTGTATCTGAGCAGCAGACATGGACATCATGGACATGGACAGATGTTCCTGGTGTCTACTCTATTTCTTGCTCCTCCTGTCCTCTTCAATACTTTGGAGAAACTGGTTGATCTCTTTCTGGCAGACTTAGGCAGCACAAAAATAGTGTTAGGCTTGCCGACACTAACAATGCTCTTTTCTGTCACGTCAGAGATCATAGCCATCCTATTGATTGGTCTTCTGCTAAAACTGTCTTCCCTACTTCCAACTCGAACAGTCGCCGTCTAGTTGAATCCTCTCTAATACATAACTTTCCTTGTATGAATCTTAGCCCTGGCTTCGTCTCTGTAGATGCCTTCCTCTCCCACTACATTGTAAAATGCTCCAAACTTCAGAACACCTGTGACTTAACCTGACTCCTCATTTTTTCTTTTTCTTTTTCTTCTTCTCCCTCTTCCCCTTTCCTCTTTCCTTTTTCTCCTCTGGGTTGTCTTTCTCTCTTCTGTCTCGTGTTTCTCTCCTTCTTCATTTATTTCACCACTTTCCCCTTTCACGCACCTCTGTGCGCTTGCTCTCCCTCTGTGGGCACCTAGCTCCCTTGCAGTGCTCCCCTTCCTTCGTATTTCACTGGCTCGCTCTCCTTATTCCCCACTTCTACCACTACTACTACTGATGAAATTAAGACATGTGCGGCATCTGGGTGTCTTTGTTGTGGACGTTTCGCCATCCAGTGGCTGGCTGGATGGCGAAACGTCTACGATAGGGATGCCCAGGTATTGCGCATGTGTCTTAATTTCATCTTGTTGGTATTATATACCATTCTTGTACTACTACTACTACTACTACCACCACCTCTTCCTGCCTATATATAGCCGTCCTGCTCCACTTCTGGTTAGTGTGACTTTGTAAATGGTCCAAGTCAGACCGAAACGTCGTCATAAGCTTCTCTCTTTTATGTGCGGGTTATTTGTGTAACATACGTAGCATCTTGCCTAGAAAGGGAGTGGGCAATGAATGAATGTCTAGGGCAATTGGTATAAATTGCTGGCTAGACAGGTACTGCAAGGAACTTGCAATTCCATTCATTGATAACTGGGACCTATTCTTTGGCAAACGTGATATGTATGCAAGGGATGGGGTTCATCTCTCTGGGGATGGAGTGGTTGCATTAGCCAATTCAATTGAGAGGGCAATAGATGACTTGTCTAGGAATTTAAACCGATAGATTAGAGAGGTATGGGTGTTTTTGGGAAACAATCAGGCTGCAGCATTAGGGTTAAAACCAGCAGTTATTACCGGGATACCTCAGGGATATGTTTAAAAGACAATATTCAAAATAAAGTTGCAAGTAATGGCAAATCAATTGATCAACAAACAAAGAGAGATAGTAGAGGGCAACGAGTGACTAGCTCCCTTAAGGTTTACTATACAAATAGTAGGAGTCTAAGAAATAAGATAGATGAGCTAAAATTACTTGCAAGTGTAGGCAATATAGATATTATTGGTATAACAGAGACCTGGTTCAACCTGAAAGATAGAGAAATGCCTTCTGAATGCAACATACAGGGTTATAAACTATTCCACACTGATAGGGTCAACAGGAAGGGTGGTGATGTGGCGATGTATGTCACAGAAAATTTAAATTGTTGTCTTAGACATGATATAAGATAAGAAACATCAAACACAGAATCTGTTTGGCTACAGTTTCTCGAGGGACGTGACAAATTAATTGTGGGTGTGATTTATAGGCCCTCAAACCTTGATAGGGAGGGCAGTAAGCTTTTATGGGACGAAATTCATAAGGCATCTAGATATGAAAATGTTGTGATAATGGGAGATTTTAACTTTAGACAGATTGATTGGAACAATATGACAGGAAATCTTGAGTCTAGTGACTTTCTTGATACGGTTCAGGATTGCTTTTTAGAACGATTTGTGACAGAACCAACTAGAGGAAACAATCTGCTTGACTTGGTTCTTGCCAACAAAGATTCACTAATTAATAATCTTGAGGTTAATGGTGAGCTTGGGGAAAGTGATCACAAATCACTTAGTTTCAATATATCATGGAATTACCCAGATAACTGCAATCAAATCTCTGTCCCAGATTTTCGCTTGGCTGACTTCATGGGACTGAAAAATTACTTGGGTGGGCTAAATTGGGATGTCCTGACTATGGGTCAGGTAGGTTATCTTGGTTGCCAATATGACGTTTTTCAGAGCATAGTACTAGCTGCCCAGACAACTTTTGTTCCGAGTAGGGAAATTAGATCTAACAAAAATGATCCCAAATGGCTGAACAATAGATTAAAACATCTCATTGGTCAAAAGAGAGGCATATATAGGCGTATCAAAAGAGGGGATGGGCAGTTAAGAAATCAGTATATTCAATTAAAGAGAGAAATAAAAAAAGAAATAAGAAAAGCAAAAAGGGATTATGAAGCTAAGGTCGCAAGGGATTCAAAGACTAACCCAAAAGGGTTCTTTCAGGTATACAGAAGTAAGATTAGGGACAAGATTGGCCCACTTAAGAGTAACTCTGGTCAGATCACTGACAGTGATAAGAATATGTGTGAAATTCTAAATACCTATTTCATCTCAGTTTTCACCCAGGAAAATACTAGTGATATTCCTGAAATAACAGATTATGTAGAACAGGATGATAATAAACTATGTACGATTGCGGTAACTAGTGACATGGTCCTCAGACAAATAGAGAAACTAAAACCTAACAAATCCCCAGGTCCTGATGAACTGTTTGCAAGGGTGTTAAAGGAATGCAAAGAGGAACTTAGCATACCTTTGGCTAATCTTTTTAACATGTCACTACAAACTGGCATAGTGCCTGATAAGTGGAAAATGGTAAATGTAATACCTATTTACAAGGCAGGTGACAGGTCCTTGACTTCGAACTACAGACCAATAAGCCTTACCTCCATAGTGGGAAAATTTATGGAATCAATAATTGCAGAAGCAATTCATAGCCACCTTGACAGGCACAGATTGATTAATGAATCTCAACATGGTTTTACAAAGGGGCGTTCCTGTCTTACGAATTTGCTAACTTTTTTCACTAAGGTGTTTGAGGAGATAGATCATGGTAATGAATATGATATTGTGTATATGGACTTCAGTAAGGCTTTCGATAGAGTTCCACACCAGAGGCTACTGAGGAAACTTAGGGCACACGGAATAGGAGGAGAAATTTTTTCCTGGGTAGAGGCATGGCTGACAAATAGACAGCACAGAGTTTGCATAAATGGGGAGAAATCAGCATGGGGGCACGTCACAAGCGGTGTTCCTCAGGGGTCAGTGTTGGGCCTGTTGTTATTCACAATTTACATAAACGACATAGATGAGGGAATAAATAGCGACGTAAGCAAATTTGCTGATGACACCAAAAGAGGCCATCCAATTAATTCTAATGAGGACATTAGAGCACTCCAGGATGATTTGAATAGACTGACGCAATGGTCGGAGAAGTGGCAGATGCAGTTTAATATTGACAAATGCGAAGTTCTAAATGTTGGACAGTTAAATAACCATGCCACATATAAACTAAATAATGTAGATCTTAATACTACTGATTGCAAAAAGGATTTGGGAGTTCTGGTTAGCAGTAACCTAAAACCAAGACAACAGTGAATTAGTGTTCACAATAAAGCCAACAGAATTCTTGGCTTCATATCTAGAAGTATAAATAATAGAAGTCCTCAGGTTGTTCTTCAACTCTATATATCCTTGGTTAGGCCTCATTTAGACTATGCTGCTCAGTTCTGGTCACCATATTACAGAATGGATGTAAATGCTCTGGAAAACGTACAAAGGAGGATGACAAAGATGATCCCATGTATCAGAAATCTTCCCTATGAGGATAGACTGAGGGCCCTGAATCTGCACTCTCTCGAAAGGCGTAGAATTAGGGGGGATATGATCGACGTGTATAAATGGAAAACAGGAATAAATAAAGGGGATGTATAGCGTGCTGAAAATTTCCAGCCATGATAGGACTCGTAGCAATGGTTTCAAGTTGGAAAAATTCAGATTCAGGAAGGATATAGGAAAGCACTGGTTTGGTAATAGAGTTGTGGATGAGTGGAACAAACTCCTGAGTACGGTTATTGAGGCTAAAACGTTGTGTAGTTTTAAAAATAGGTTAGATAAATACATGAGTGGGTGTGGGTGGGTATGAGTTGACCTGACCAGCTTGTGCTGCTGGGTCTGGTGCAGTGCTCCATCCTTGAGTGGAGATGACCAGGATGGGTGGGTCATTGGGATAATCCGGGGGGTGGGTCATTGGTCTAATCCGGATGGGAAACATGGACCTGCTCCGCTTGGGTCAGTAGACCTGTTGCAGTGTTCCTTCTTTATGTTCTTAAAAGAACAGATAAAGAAGATATCTTAGCACCTGCAACAGGAGCAACAAGAGACCACAGTTGTAAACTGATAAAAGAATGGAATGGATAGGATAAGAGAAAAATGATCTTTTCAAATAGTGGTTGACCAATAAAATGCATTAAAGGAAAATTTAAACAAATTACATGATGAGCAGACACCACAAGCATTGTTCTGCTCCTGTAGCTACAAACAGTTAATTTACAAATACATACAGTAAGCAATAACACACACACACACACATATATTTTTTCAAGCATTTTAATCATAAAACCCTTTGTAGAATGACCTTATCTGTTAGTGGTGTAAAGATGCTTAAAGGCTCTATTGTTGAATCTCCGTGAGTTAATATCATCTCCAGGATGCCGTCTCCATTTAAGTCAGTCACAGCACAACCTGAAAAAATTAATTTTTTTTTTTTTTTACTGCATTTTAGATTTGATAACGTTTAATATTTACAGTCTATATTACATACAGCATATACAAACGTATGTATTTATTTACTGTATGTATGTATGGATATATACACTTGCACACACATGCACATCATCTCTAAGTGGGTCTTGAGAGAGAAAACAGAGGCGCTGTGTGTGCCACTAACAACAATCTTCCAAACATTTATCGAAACAGGACAACTGTCTGAGGTGTGGAAGACAGCAAATGTAGTCTCAATATTTAAGAAAGGACACAAACAGCATTAAACTACAGACCAGTGTCACTGACAAATATAGTATGCAAAGTCATGGAGAAGAATTATCAGAAGAGTGGTGTAGCACCTAGAAAGGAATGAACGTATAAACAATAACCAGCACAGTTTCAGGGAAGGGAAATCCTGTCACACACCTATTGGAGTTTTATAAGGTGACAGAAATAAGACAAGAGAGAAAGGGGTGGATAGACTGCATTTTCTTAGACTATAAGAAGGCTTTCAACACAATTCCACACAAGAGATTAGTGCAAGAGCTACAGGAGTAGGCAGGAATAACAGGAAAGGCACTGCAGTGGATCAGAGAATACCTGACAGGAAGGAAACAATGAGTCATGGCACATGATGAGGTGTCAGAATGGGCACCTGTGACAAGTGGGATTCCACAGGGGTCAGTCCTAGGGATGGTGCTATTTTTAGTATATGTGAATGACATTACAGAAGTGATAGATTCAGAGGTGTCCCTGTTTGTAGACAATGTGAGACTAATGCAAAGAATTAAATTGAATGAGGATCAGGTAGGACTACAAAGGGATCTGGACAGGTTGCAAGCCTTGTCTGGCAACTCGTTCCTGGAGTTTAACCCCACCAAGTGCAAAGTCATGAAAATTGGGGAATGTCAAAGAAGACTGCAGATGGAGTACAGGCTGGGGGGAGGGGGGCAAAGACTGCAAACCTCACTCAAGGAAAAGGATCTTGGGGTGAATACCAAGCACATCTCCAGAGGCACACATTGAATAAATAACTGCTGCAGCATATGGGTGCCTGGCAAATCTAAGAAAAGCATTTCATCACCTTAGCATGGAATCGTTCAAGACTCTGTACACATGTATGTCAGGCTCATATTGGAGCATGCAACACTAGTATGGAACTCTCACCTGGTCAAGCATGTCAAGAAATTAGACAAAGTGCAAAGGTTTGCAACAAGACTAGTCCTGGAGCTAAGGGGTATGCCCTATGAGGAGAGGTTAAAGGAAATTGACCTGATGACACTGGAGGACAGGAGGGATATGGATGATGTGATAATGACATATAAAATACTGAGAGGAACTGACAAAGTAGATAGGGACAGGATATTTCAGAGATGGGACACAGCAACAAGGGGTCACAACTGGAAGATGAAGACTCAGATGAGTGAAAGGTATGTTATGAAGTATTTCTTCAGTCATAAAGTTGTCAGGAGGTGGAATAATCTGGAGAGTGATGTAGTGGAAGCAAGATCCATACATAGCTTTAAGAAGAGATACAATAAAGCTCACGGAGCAGGAGGAGAGTGGACCTAGTAGCAACCAGTGAAAAGGCAGTGCCAGGAGCTGTGACTCAACCCCTGCAACCACAATTAGGTGACTATACAGACACACACACGTACAAAACAGGAGTTGACACATTTACATTTTGCTGATGATACTGTGCTTTTGGAAGATTCTGAAGAGAAGTTGCAAAGGTTAGTGGATGAGTTTAGGAGGGTGTGTAAAGGAAGAAAGTTGAAAGTGAACATAGACAAGAATAAGATGATGAGGTATCAAACGAGTTAGGAAAAGAAAAGCTGGATATCAGATTGGAGGGAGTATGAAAGAAGTGAATGTGTTCAGATGTTTGGGAGTAACTTGTTGGTGGATGGGTTTATGAAGGATGAGGTAAGCCATAGAACTGATGAAGGGAAAAAGGTGGGTGGTGCACTGAGGTATCTGTGGAGACAGTGAACATTATCCATGGAGGCAAAGAAGGAAATGTATGAGAGTATAATGGTATCAACACTCTTATACGGGTGTGAAGCATGGGTTGTAAATACTGCAACAAGGAGGAGGCTGGAGGCAATGGAGTTGTCATGTCTAAGGGTAATGTGTGGTAAATATGATGCAGAGAATTCAGTGTGTAGAAATTAGGCAGAGGTGTGGGGTTACTGAAAGTATTATTTAGAGGGCTGAAGAGAGGCTATTGAGGAGGGTTGATCATTTAGAGAGGCTGGAGCACAATACGATGACTTGAAGGGTGTATAAATCTGTAAAGGAGGGAAGGAGGGGTAGGGGTCATCCTAGGAAAGGATGGAAGGAGGGGGTAAAAGAGGTTTTGTGTGCAAGGGGCTTGGACATACAGCAGGAATGTGTGAGCGTGTTAGATGGGAGTGAATGGAGACGAATGGTTTTTGGGAATTGACGAGCTGTTGGAATGTTAGCAGGGTAATATTTTGTATAGGGATTCGGGAAAACCGGTTAACCGGACTTGAGTCCTGGAGGTGGGAAGTACAATGCCTGCACTTTATAGCGGGGTTTGGGATATTGGCTGTTTAGAGTGACATCTAAACTGTTGTATATGTGTGCCTCTGCAAAGACAGTGATTATGTGTGAATGATGGTGAAAGTGTTGAATGATGGTAAAAGTGTTTCCTTATTTTCTGGGTCACCCTGCCTCAGTGGGAGACAGCCAATGTGTTGAAAAAAAAATACAGTGGACCCTCAGCTAACAATGGCATCAGCTAACATTAAATCCAGCTAACAATACATTTTAACGCAAAAATTTTGCCTTGGCTAACGCTAAAAAACTCACCCAACGCGATTCGTTCGAGATGCGTCCATGTGTGGCCTGAGTGCGCCTCAGTTGTCCCGTGGGTGCCAGTGTTTACAAGCCAGCCAGTGCAGTCGCATCCACGCATACAATCGGAACATTTCATATTATCACAGCGTTTTTAGTGATTGTACCTGCAAAACAAGTCACCATGGGCCCCAAGAAAGCTTCTAGTGCCAACCCTGTGATAAAAAGGGTGAGAATTAGTATGGAAATTAAGGAAGATTTTGAAGGGTTTGAGGATAACCCTGAGATGCCTATGCCAGTTGTGGAATCCATTGTGCCTACTTCAAAGATTAAGGAAATGTGTGCAAAGTGGGTTGAACTGCAAACCTTTATGGATGAAAATCACCCTAACACAGCTATTGCAAGCCATGCTGGTGACTATTACAGTGACAATGTTGTGGCCCATTTTAGGCAAATCTTAACCCTTAACCCTTTGACTGTCGCAACCCCCAATCCTGAGGTGTTTCCTGGTGTCGCAAAATTTAAAAAAAAAAAAAAATATTTTTTCTTATGAAAAGATAGAGAATCTTTTCCCGATTGTAAAGACACCAAAAAAACGAAATTTGTTGGAAAACTGACGGAATTATGCTCTCGCAAAGTTAGCGACCTCGGCGATATTTACAAATTGGCGATTTCGCCCACTTTGAGCCCTATTTTCGGCTAATTCCATTGTTCCAGTCGACCAAACTCATAGCTATTTCTTTAGAACTCCATTTTTTCTATTGATTGAGTACAAGAAACTGCCCATTTACCGATTTCAACTACCCAATAATGTGGTCAGAAATTTGCAATTTGGCCAATTTCACGAAAATTAAAAAATATGACAATTTCAAAATAAGGTCCAGAATGAACAATGCAGACATTCCTGGCTCTAAAATAACATTTTCTTTGTTCATCAGTCATGTCTCCAGGCCCCTCTGATATTACTCTTGCTTTCTATTTTGAATTTTTATTCAAACAAAAAATAGAAGACTTACTATTATGCAGACTACTGCAATACTGTAATAATTGTATAAATAACATCAACCCATTCATGACTGCATATTAGAATGGCTAGTTGGACATTTATTGGACAATGACATCATTTGTTTACTTTTGAACATCGGCAAAAATCAAACATTTTCCCTACTTTGAGATCCATTTCAAGGTTCTTTTTTTAGTAAAATCAATCAAAATCACCTCTACTTCTATAAAATGTTTTCCATTCTATCAAATGAGACCAAGAAAACGAGAATACAACCATAAATACTATACGAAAATAGACCACAAAATCGGCATTTTAATTAAAAAAATGGTCGGAGTTTTTTTTTTCTCATTATGCACTGCGTGCTCCAGGATTTTTTTTATATGGTGCACACTGACCACACAGACCCATTCTCTCACATGTGGGCCTACCAGCTTTCTCCTGCTTGATTTGAAGCTGCTAGAATTTATGAGTATATATACGTCAAACACAGTACCTCGTAAGACGTATATATACGGCCGCGACAGTCAAAGGATTAAACTGTCCAAACGTAGATCTACATTTTTTCAACATTTGAAAGTATGTAAAAAAAGTAGATCTTCTTTTCTTTTTTTTACATTTGAAAACGTGTAAAAAAACTTTGATCTACTTTTTTTTTGTTATATTTGAAAATATGTAAAAAAACATAGATCTACTTTTGGAGCACTACGCATGTGAACGTAAATTTGTTTGGACAGTTTAAGTTAAATGTTGATGAAGATAGGGAAGCTGTGATTTCGTGTATAGGGCAAGGAGGAATAACATCTTGTAGGAGTGAGGAAGAGCCAGTTGTGAGTGTGGGGGAAGTTCGTGAGGCAGTAGGTAAAATGAAAGGGGGTAAGGCAGCCGGGATTGATGGGATAAAGATAGAAATGTTAAAAGCAGGTGGGGATATAGTTTTGGAGTGGTTGGTGCAATTATTTAATAAATGTATGGAAGAGGGTAAGGTACCTAGGGATTGGCAGAGAGCATGCATAGTTCCTTTATATAAAGGCAAAGGGGACAAAAGTGAGAGTGCAAAAATTATAGGGTTATTATTGAAAGAATTAAGAGTAAGACGGAGAATAGGATAGCAGATGAACAAGGAGGCTTTAGGAAAGGTAGGGGTGTGTGGACCAGGTGTTTACAGTGAAACATATAAGTGAACAGTATTTAGATAAGGCTAAAGAGGTCTTTGTGGCATTTATGGATTTGGAAAAGGCATATGACAGGGTGGATAGGGGGGACAATGTGGCAGATGTTGCAGGTGTATGGTGTAGGAGGTAGGTTACTGAAAGCAGTGAAGAGTTTTTACGAGGATAGTGAGGCTCAAGTTAGAGTATGTAGGAAAGAGGGAAATTATTTCCCAGTAAAAGTAGGCCTTAGACAAGGATGTGTGATGTCACCGTGGTTGTTTAATATATTTATAGATGGGGTTGTAAGAGAAGTAAATGCGAGGGTCTTGGCAAGAGGCGTGGAGTTAAAAGATAAAGAATCACACATAAAGTGAGAGTTGTCACAGTTGCTCTTTGCTGATGACACTGTGCTCTTGGGAGATTCTGAAGAGAAGTTGCAGAGATTGGTGGATGTATTTGGTAGGGTGTGCAAAAGAAGAAAATTAAAAGTGAATACAGGAAAGAGTAAGGTTATGAGGATAAAAAGATTAGGTGATGAAAGATTGGATATCAGATTGGAGGGAGAGAGAATGGAGGAGGTGAATGTATTCAGATATTTGGGAGTGGACGTGTCAGCGGATGGGACTATGAAAGATGAGGTGAATCATAGAATTGATGAGGGGAAAAGGGTGAGTGGTGCACTTAGGAGTCTGTGGAGACAAAGAACTTTGTCCTTGGAGGCAAAGAGGGGAATGTATGAGAGTATAGTTTTTACCAACGCTCTTATATAGGTGTGAAGCATGGGTGATGAATGTTGCAGCGAGGAGAAGGCTGGAGGCAGTGGAGATGTCATGTCTGAGGGCAATGTGTGGTGTGAATATAACGCAGAGAATTCGTAGTTTGGAAGTTAGGAGGAGGTGCGGGATTACCAAAACTGTTGTCCAGAGGGCTGAGGAAGGGTTGTTGAGGTGGTTCGGACATGTAGAGAGAATGGAGCGAAACAGAGTGACTTCAAGAGTGTATCAGTCTGTAGTGGAAGGAAGGCGGGGTAGGGGTCGGCCTAGGAAAGGTTGGAGGGAGGGGGTAAAGAAGGTTTTGTGTGCAAGGGGCTTGGACTTCCAGCAGGCATGCGTGAGCGTGTTTGATAGGAGTGAATGGAGACAAATGGTTTTTAATACTTGACGTGCTGTTGGAGTGTGAGCAAAGTAACATTTATGAAGGGGTTCAGGGAAACCGGCAGGCCGGACTTGAGTCCTGGAGATGGGAAGTACAGTGCCTGCACTCTGAAGGAGGGGTGTTAATGTTGCAGTTTAAAAACTGTAGTGTAAAGCACCCTTCTGGCAAGACAGTGATGGAGTGAATGATGGTGAAAGTTTTTCTTTTTCGGGCCACCCTGCCTTGGTGGGAATCGGCCAGTGTGATAATACTAATAATAGTTTAAGGGTTAAAGGAACAGGAGGTACAGACCACTATAGACAGATTTGTTGTGCGACAGAGGTCCAGTGACTCTCAAGCTGGTCCTAGTGGCATTAAAAGAAGAAGGGAAGTAACCCCGGAAAAGGACTTGATACCTCAAGTCCTAATGGAAGGGGAGTCCCCTTCTAAACATTAACAACTTCCACACTCTCCCCTCCTCCCATCCCATCAGTCATCACCAGATCTTCAATAAAGGTAAGTGTCCATTTGTATGTATTAAAATTAATATTTCATGTGGTAAAAAAATTTTTTTTTTCATACTTTGGGGTGTCTTGCACAGATTAATTTGATTTCCATTATTTCTTATGGGGAAAATTAATTCAGCTAACGATAATTTCAGCTAACGATGAGCTTTCAGGTACGGATTAATATCATTAGCTGAGGGTCCACTGTATACATGTATATATTATGGATAACAGTTCTTCATCAGGAACTTGCATTAGAAGGATTAGGAATCTGCCAGCCACTTGTCATCACAAGGACAGGGTAGGCTGGAAGAGGTCTGAGGGAAGCGAGGCAGCAGAAAAGCACCTAGGAATAGCTGCCAGACAGTACCAAGGAATACAGAGAGATGTCAACTCAAGATGCTGCTTGCATGAACCATGGTTCAAGTCCCCATCCATTCTTATGTTCATTCTTCATTCATTATGACTTATCTTGGCTTTAAGGAGTATATGGCTTTGAGGGGTATGAGAATAATGTTCAGTGAAAGCTATAATAGTATAGGATGAGACAGTAATGTCACAGATGATGGCAGATGACATAACTATGCAAGAGAAGTGCTAGTTGTAAAAGCATTCTATTAGAATCCTCATGGTCAAATAGCACAGTGCTAGGTCTCTTGCACAGACCGTGGTTCGAGTAGTCCTTGTTCATCCTTCTGTTTATTCACTGACAGTCATTCATTACAACTTCAGTTGTTAATACTATATTTTAATGAAGTAATTAAACCTCAAACCTGCAGTTTGGCAGCCCTGAGATTACCACAGACAGTCACAAGTGATCTCCATAGAGGAAATTACCTGGAAAGATTTGTGAAGGCCACATCTGTGACTCGATCACCTGTTTCTATGGAGACTACCCTACCCCATTGGCAGGCAAATAGTTCTTGTGTCTTCTGAGTCATTACCAATGTGCTGACAATTCATGAATGAATGCAGTAGTCTCAGCATTAAGCTGGTAATCTCAGCACTATCACACTCCAGTTCAAGACTCAATCACTGTAAATGAAGTATTGCATTAATTTATTACAAATTTCCAATAGTTACTGTATGTTACAGGGTTTGCATGTAACAAGTTAAGGCAATCTAGACCATTAAGAATACATATTTCAATTACCTGCAGTTTGAAAACAGGGCTCCAGTGCTTTTCCTATATTTATTTCCTTAATGGTAGGATCTTGGCCATTAGCACCACGCATCACTTGAAAGAGACGATTGGGGGCAGGACTGCGATAAGCAATATTACTCATCAACACCTGTTAAGATTCATATTCATTTATAATAATCACATTATTTTTTCTATTTTTCATAATATGGACAGTTAACAGAGTTTTCACCTACTTATCAGTGCCTATATAAACTTCATATATGAATTCATTTCCTACTTTGTTGACATTTATAATTCTGCTCTTTCTTTTTTTCTTTTAACATGTCTGCTGTCTCCCACCAAGGCAGGATGACCCAAAAAAGGAATAAAATGCTTTCATCATTCAACACTTCCACCATCATTCACACATAATCACTGTCTTTGCAGAGGTGCCCAGATACAACAGTTTAGATGTCACTCCAAACAGTCAGTATCCCAAACCCCTCCTTTAAAGTGCAGGCATTGTACTTCCCACCTCCAGGACTCAAGTCTGGCTAATTAAATACCTAATACATGTATATATTTAATTTTGCAGTTGTGCTATTCTCACAAACTTTCATATTTTGTTGGTGTTGGTTTGAGAGACCATGGTGGAAATATTCACTGGGCATTTTATCACATATTTCCTTACCTAATACAGTATCTACTTCTCCTATACTGGGTATGATCTTGTAGCTCACTTGTGCCCAAAATAGCCTTATTTACCCTACTCACAGATTGTGACTTTGTTACAATACAGGGGAATGCTTTAATGCCAATAATGTGCTTTTGATCAAAGGAATTAGTTACCAACTCTTATATCAAACTTTATTGTTACCACCTTCCCAGAACCTGGTGCTATGTGACTTTTGCAAATTTAGTGCTTCTCCATGAATAAAATAATTATTATTGTTCTGATGTACCAGTGACCAGTTAAGAATATGCATTCTTCTACTCTTGCTGCCTGGTATGCTGCAATGCTTCCTTGCTAATGGCCTGATCACCCAGACTGTTGCTCTTAGCAGCCCACTGGTCACCATATCCATCACAGCTGGCTGAGCTGCATGTGGAGGTACAGATCCAGTTTCATCTTGAAAACTTTTGCCTTTATGGCAATATTTGTTGTATCTGCTGTTGCAAAGATGAGTGTTGAGACACGAATATTGACAGGGTTCTCTGTCCCCATGCGTTCCCCTTACTTTTCATTTGATTTATTTTAGATTTATTCCAATTTCTCACTCCAGTAAGTTATGGGTATATGCAAATTGGGACCTGTCCCTTAAGTACATACTGTATATCTTTCACATATATATTTTTAAGTACAGTGAACCCTTGGGTTTCATTTGCCCTGGTTTTTGTCGAATTCGGTTTTTGACAACTTTTTTCGTCACAATTTTGTCCCAGTTTTTGTTAATCATCTCAACTTTTGTCAAGTTGGCAGTGGTCCACCGTACCGAACGTGTCCGCCCGCGCCCACACAAAGCATCCCATGCGTTCTGGGTCAGTCTGGCTTGGTTTCTCGTTGGTAGAGGGTGGCAGTGATGGTGGTAGAGGGTGGTAGCGGTTGTGATGGTGGTAGAGATAACCTCTCCTCCCTCTTCACTCCTCGCTGTCTACCATATGCCAACAAGAGTCTTCAATAAAGGTAAAAGTGATGTTAAATGTTCATTTATCCATTTCATTAATCCTTATATTTATTTCTCATTGTTTTCTGTATGTAAAACTATAGTTATTCTCTATAAAATATATATTTTGTTAATACTTTAGGGTGTCTGGAATGGATTAATTGGATTTACATTATACTATCTCGTGGGAAATATTACTTCAGTTTTTAATGAATTCAGTTTTTGTCAGACTTTTTGGAACGAATTAATGATGAAAACTGGGGTTCCACTGTATGTATCTCTTCTATGATGGATTATTTTTGGGTAGCTCCACCTCTGTCAGAGGCAGCTTTGGGAATATTAACCAATTTTGCATTCATTCTTCCTGTTTTCATGTCTTTCTAGGGATGACACTCGCTCCACTTGACCTGCCCACGGGACTCTTATCATTTTAGCAAATTGTGTTATTTGTCCTTTAGCATGCTGGGACTTGCCCTTGGAGGCTAGGCCCTGCATGGGTTTTCCTTGCAGCAGCTTTTCCACTGTGCCTTTAGGGTTGTTCAGGAACAACCCTTATGCTGGGGTGGTGTGAGAGGTGTTCCTCACTAGAGATGCCACTGGGACTTTTCTGGCAGCCTCTCCTTTCCTTGGCCACTTCTTTGGTCATTCTTATGGGCCCCACACCTTTCCCTGAGCCCTCTACAGTTTATTTTGGGACTGGACAAGCTAAGTTCCTAGATCTATTTTTGGGTGCCAACCCTTCACTCCAAGTTTGGAACAGGCAGCTACCAGTGTTACCTCATGACTGACTTGCATTCCTTCCCCCTTGTCTTTTCCACAGACCAAGCACAAAGATACTCTTCCATACTGTTCTGGTATTTCTTTAGGTATTCCACAAAACTCTACTCATTCTTGTTGAGTTTCTGTATCTGGTTCATTCCCAAGTGCCTTCTACCCCCACTTGCCAGCTGCCACCACTACTGCTGTGCCACTGGTACGATTCTAAGCTATTGTTAAAAAATTAAATGGTGCAAATTTATAATGCACATATAATAATAATATCTATATTTACTACAAGTACATGTATATATCCACAGGAAAATGGAACAGAATTCTTCCTCTGTAAGCCATGTGTGTCATAAGAGGTGACTAAAATGCCAGGAGCAAAGGGCTAGTAACCCCTTCTCCTGTATACATTACTAAATTTAAAAAGAGAAACTTTCACTTTTCTTTTTAGGTCACCCTGTCTCGGTGGGATATGGCCAGTTTAAAAAAAAAAAAAGCATGTACATGGTATACAGGCCTAGCTGACATCAGTGACATACTACTATATAGAAAGCCCCTTGTTATGCTGACCATTTCGGGCAAATTAGGTCAGTGTCCCAGGATGCAACTTACACCAGTAGACTAACACTCAGGTACCCATTTACTGATAGGTGAACATAGACAACAGGCATAAAGAAACACGCTCAATGTTTCTACCCTGGCTGGGAATCGAACCCAGACTCTCGCCATGTGAAGCGAGAGCTTTAACCACCAGGCCACCAGAAAGGGGGGCACTACATGCAAGTAAACCCAAATAATGTAAAACCAAATAAAGCAAGAGAAACCTGTATTAGAAAATAGTATACACATATGCGCACACAAACACACACTGTGCTTATTTTTAATACAGTGTCACTGTATGTCATTACAATAATTTTATTCTTCATTAAAATAAAATTTTTACAAATTATTAACTAAGTGCTCATTTCATTTTATGAACCTTTGAACAAGTTACACAATGTGAAAAAAAAAAACTTGACAAAAAGAATAAAAGTATTGTCGGAAACAGAGCTGATCCTCTACTATACCTCTAAGTTGCCATCATTATTAAAGTCAGCAGCTACTAATGACCGTACAGGTGATGGCTCTGCAAATTCATCTGTTGCAATATTCTGAAAATTAAATACAGTACATGTATATATAATACACGTATATTAAAAATTATTTAAAATGAGTATAAATAAAAAATGTAAGTAAAATAATTTAGTCTTCATAAATGAAAATAGTGTGGAAAAAAGCAACCACTATTAACCCATAAACGGTCCAAACAGATCAACGTTCAAATTCGTAGTGCTACAAAAGTAGATCTGCTTTGTTTTACATATTTTCAAATATAACAAAAAAAAATGTAGATAAGTTTTTTACACGTTTTCAAATGTAAAACAAAAAAGAAAATCTACATTTTTTTACATACTTTCAGATGTTGAAAAAACGTATATATACGTTTGGACTGTTTAAGGGTTAATAAAGACTTGACTCCTTATGCCATGTGACAGCAAACGAGATAATGTTACACGGCATATGAAGTCACGTCACATTTCATAATAAGCATATGAGTTGGTATAGGAGGCCATATCATATGATGTAGTATGGATTTGTTGTGGAGAAGTGATATAAAATATTGACACAATGAAAATCACAAATGCATTAGTATAATACAATCATTTGTTGATCTGTTTATGACTTGATGAAGCTCACTATGTGGGTGATATCTTATCAAAGAGTTGCATTATACTGTACTGCATTTGTGTCTGTGTTCTACTGGTTTATGCTGAGTTGTGTTCCAAGAGAAATAATAATGTATGAATGTAAAAAGAGTAAAATTAATGAATGTGAAGTGTATAACATGGAGGAAAAGTGTGCAAGTTTCACATGCTTTAATGAAGAGTAACTTATGTTACATAATGTTGTCATTCCTGCATTAACATTACTGATGCACTGTATAGCATACATGACAATACAGTGGACCCCCGCATAACGATTTTAATCCGTGCAAGAGGGGTAATTGTTATGCGAAATAATCGGTATGTGAATGAATTTTCCCCATAAGAAATAATGGAAATAAAATTAATCCATGCAAGACACCCAAAAGTATGAAAAAAAAATTTTTACCACATGAAATATACATTTTCCTACACACAAAGAGAAGGATACATGCACAATAGTAGAGTAGTACATGCACAGTATATATTGTGCATGTACTAGTCTACTAAATGAAGAATAAATGACACTTACCTTTATTGAAGATGCAGCAATGACTGATGAGACACTGTGTCCTGGGAGTGCCTTTTCCTCCTGAGTACTGTAGGTCCTGTTTGGCATTTTCTTCCAGAACAGGCCTTATCACACTGTGTATGCCACTACGATTCTTAAATCTCTCAAACCAACCTTTGCTGGCTTTAAATTCACCAATATGAGCACTAGTTCCAGGCATTTTTCCCTGTTCACCTGGGTGTTAGTCGACTTGTGTGGGTTGCATCCTGGGAGACAAGATTAAGGACCCCAATGGAAATAAGTCTTCGATGACACTGACTTTTTTGGGTTATCCTGGGTGGCAAATCCTCTGGGGTTAATTGTTTCTTGGTATTCTCAATAAGCCACACCAACAACGGTGCTACAGCAGCAGCAGCAGCTGACGGTGGTACAGCAGCAACAGACGATGCTACAGCAGCAGCAGCAGCTGACGGTGGTACAGCAGCAACAGACGATGCTACAGCAGCAGCAGCAGCTGACGGTGGTACAGCAGCAACAGACGATGCTACAGCAGCAGCAGACGATGCTACAGCAGCAACAGACGATGTTACAGCAGCAGCAGACGATGCTACAGCAGCAGCAGCAGCAGACGATGCTACAGCAGCAGCAGCTGTACCACCAATAGTAGCGATGGTTGATTGGGGTTTATTATACAACCTGGCCAGCTCGGAGACACGCACTCCACTTTCATACTTATCAATGATCTTTTTCTTCATCTCTATTGTAATTCTCACCCTTATTGCTGTAGGGTTGGCACTAGAAGCTTTCTTGGGGCCCATGGTCACTTATTTTCCAGAAAAAGCACCGAAAACACTGTAATAATACGAAATATTCCGATTGTATGCCACCGGCGGAACATGTGAGCGTGGCTCAGGCCGCACATTGGACGCGTCTCGGACGAAAATCGGTGAGCGGGTTCTTAAGCGGTATGTGAGGCAAAATTTTTGCGATTAAAGCAAGCGGTATGCGGATTAATCGCTATGTGATGCCATCGTTATGCGGGGGTCCACTGTATTCAGTTCACTTTCCCTTCATCTATTTAAGTGGTGGAGAGACAGTAAGAGATGTTCACAGCCCAATACTAAGGAAACAGTATGGCTGTCCACATGTCTCATCTGTGAATGTGAAAACTCTTGATTTTACAGATTAATAAAGGGGAGTGGGTGGCTGGTAATGGCAACTGTGGTGGACAAAGGGATTGTTTTGCCATGATTGTAACAATATAGTACAATTCTGTAGCCATAGAATTTGTTAGCTGTTATTGAATCCACTGATTCAATAGATTTTGTTCATATTTCCAGAGTCCCTTAAATTGAGGTCCATTAATCACAGGTTGTCTTTTGATAACATTACTCATCTCTATAGAAATATTATATAGACACTATGCAACACTTACCACTTTAATCATATGCTACAAACAAGCCTAATTCTTGAATAACTTTTAGGCAGCTATCAAAATGGAAGTGGAAACTCACAGAACCTTAGCACTGAGACTAGAAATTCATCACCTGTAGCTGTGCCCTTCAAAAACCAAACAATCCAGGAGTATATTTGGTTCAGGTGCATGTACAGAAAATCTATCTATATATCTGGCTATTCTCTCTCTATCTCTCCTGGTTTTTCTTTTTTTTTTCTTTTTTTTTTTTTGCCCTGAGCAGAACCCTACACCAGTAACACATTTTTTCACCAATTACATATATTGTTAGAACATAGAATTAACAATATTTTGTACACCTTCTGAAAACCTATATTAATACATGGCATTTCAAGCAGACTTGATATAGAATTAAATATTACTTATTAGTAATATAGTTGTTGCAAACCTTATTTTAACCCTCAAACTGCCAAAGGGTCAATAATAAATGTTCCCCAGTGCCAGTAATTTTGAAAACTAAATCTTGCCAAAAAAATTATTCGATTTAGATGTACAGTGTATAAGACAAGAATGAGTGAAATCTGATAAGTACTTACAGAGATACAAAGGTTTGAAGTTGACATCAGTGATCTTCACATGGCAATGTGCATGCCTGCCGAGTGAAGGTGATTGCCATTTTTTAAAGTTTTTCATAATAACCTTTTTCTAGTTTTTCTGATGGATGTTGTTTGTTACACTTATATCTGTTCACATATTATATTTCACTTATATATATTTTCCAGTAATACTAAACTAAATGCCAAGCTCTCTTTACTTGCTCATTTGCTGAACACTGTTGTTATTGTTGTCTGTTCTTTCACTGCATATAGTCTTTGTATACTTGATACATGCTGTTCACCATGATATTATAAGTGTTGGAACTCATGGAATTCCTCAAAACAGGGTTCTATGCAGAGTGCTGTTTCACAGATTTTACATATATCTTGTGTCCCTACATTTCCATGGTTTATTTGTCTTGTTAGCATACATAACACTTCTGGCCATGTTTCTTTATGTCCATGGCAGGACTTGCTGTTAGGAAGTGCTTACCAGGCCACAGATAAGAGGGAATTTGGCTGTGTGGAAGCTATGGTGCAGGACGTGTAACTTGGTATTTAGCAATGATCTAGTCTACGATAGTCAAATGTAAGTTCTCATAGGTTGGTCTCTTGCCGATCTCTACCTAGTACATATTGTGTGCGTGGAGCATGGCATTATCGACAAGGTGGAAAAACAGTTTAATGTGCCACTTGAAACTCCTACACACACAGTCTACAAAACCAATCAGTATGTCACATTTAAGCACCAAATGCATATTGTTGGTGTAATCAGTCATCTTCACTGCTTAGATCTTGACCACTTGCGTTATTGTTGGTCAGTTGCTGCTTGATAGACTCAAGAGGTGGAAAGCATGTGCTAATCAGCATTTGGGCCAATATTAGGGATGTTATTAGTGTCACTTTCACCCACATGAATACTTAACTCATAAAACTATAAGTCTTCATCACTATCCTCAGTATTAAGTTCATCCATAGACTCCAGAAGTGGTTAATCCTCCTTGGAGTGAGTGCTTCTTGATGGCATGACATGACATATAGATATGTAATGGCTTCCACTAACTCCCACAATGCCCTACACATACCAGGATAAAGTGTGCACACCCATAGTACAGACCTGTCTTCTGTGAGGTAGGTCTAACCTGGCTAATTGCAGCCATTTTGGAGGTGCAAGAATTTAAGTGCAAATTTATGTCCCAGCTCTCATGAACTTGTCATCAGCAGCTTAAGGGTTAATCATAACAGTCTGGGAGTGTAGAGATAGTATTAATTGCTATAATAATTTAAAGTGACACTTCTGAATAATAAAAGATAAAATAATGTAAGATCTTGACTACTGCATGTACAATTCTCCCTCGCTTTATGGGGAAGTCATTGTATGCAATCACCACAGTTTGCAAAACACATTGATGATTCTTATTATGTGTAATATTGTTAATGACATGCCTGAACTTAATACAGATCCCAAGGGCTTGAAACACAAGTACAGCACAAAATTAAAGACACCTGTATACCCTTCTATACAAACCCAGTGCCAGCTAGACAGGCACTCGTACATATATATATTTTTAAACATGTCAGCCATTTCCCACCAAGGCAGGGTGACCCAAAAGAAAGAAAAACCCAAGAAGAAAGATAAAACTTTCATTATCAGTTAACACTTTCACCATCACTCATACATAATCACTGTCTTTGCAGAGGTGCCCAGATATGGCAATTTAGATAGTCACTCCATACTGCCAATATCCCAAACCCCTCCTTTAAAGTGCAGGCATTGTACTTCCCATTTCCAGGACTCAAGTCCAGCTAACCAGTTTCCCTGAATCCCTTCATAAAATATTACCCTGCTCGCACTCCAACAGCTCGTTAGGCATTTTAGTTGACTTTT